ATTGCAACGGTTGTTGGGGCGTATCTTATTTTTACATCAGTGTTTACAGGTATAGTTTAATCACTTGCTTCTCTGACACACATAGCCTACTCTAACGAGCAGTAAGCAGATACAATTTCTAATTTAAATATGTAAATCCAAGTCATATATTTAAAATACAAGTTAACGTTTAGATTTTAAAGATATACAAATAACACATATATCCATGCAACATATATTTAAAAATTGATCAGAGTTATATATGAATATTATGACATACAACCTATATTTATGAGGTCCAAGTAACAGTTGCAGGTTTTGATGAATAGACTACTTTATGATACTTTACATGTACAGTAGTTTTCTTTTAACTTTTTAAGAACAGTGCCATTTTTAATGAACTTTTAAAATCACATTTTAATTTAAACGTTGACATTTTATTTATCTTCTTTTTAACTGTAAGTGTGTTATTGTTCAAACTATTTATTATGTTTAAAGTGGCTGACAATAATAAATATTCATAATAATAATTATTAATCTGTAGTTTTGTATAAAGCTGTAGCCGCTCAATTAGGCCTACTATGTATTTCAATACCAGTCATTATGGTGGTACTTGGAGAGACCATTTTTTCTGGGGTGGTACTTGGTGAAAATAATTTGAGAAACAGTGCTGTAGACTATCAAAAACAATTATAGCTTAAAGGGGCACAATAGCTTAAAGGGAACAATTTTGACCTTAAAATGTTTTTTTTAATGCTTTTATTCTAGCCAAAATAAAAAATAAGACTTTCTTCAGGAGAAAAAATATTATCAGACATACTATGAAAGTTTCCTTAATCTGTTAAATAATTTTTACAAATTAATAATTTGTGAAAAATTTGAAAAAAGAAAAAAAATTAAAGGGGGGCTAATAATTCTGACTTCAACTGTATATATAAACCTTAAAATTATAAATGAAAAAACACAAGAGGTAACATGTTTCATCATTACTGTTAGTTTTTACCTATTAGTTCATTGTTATTTACTTAGTATTTGCCTATATGAATTCACAATATTGCAGAATTGATTCATATTTACATTAGTTAATAAAATAGTCATTGACCGTTAGTCGTTGTTACGTCTATGCTTTAACTAATGTTAAAAACTACAATCTTGGATTTTAATAATGCATTAGTAAACATGTACTATGATTGTTAACAACTGAAAGTGTTTTATTTTGTGTAAATGCAAGAACTACTGGAAACATAATGTACAGTGTGACCAAAACTAAGTACTGTAAACTAAATCTACAGACAAAAATTGATAAATCAGAGATAAGTAATTTTTAAAATGTATTACAAATGTTTTCTTTACACAGAATATAAATTAAAAGTAATATTTTTTTTAGCAAAAAGATTATGATTATTATGATTATGATTATAATGTGATTGTAGTTTTTTTCCTTAAAGTGTTTGACTTTTATCTGAAACATGTGCACAGTTGTGTATAGCTCCAAGTCTATGAGTGTGTAACATGGTAAGAGGGTATTTTTCTAGTATAGCATGTATGTCCACATTGTGGGTTATGTGTAAGTGTGTGCGTTTGTTTGTGGGTTGTGTGTGGTTTGTTAGAATTGAAGGCTCAGCAGCTTCTCCTTTTGTCTTCTTGCATGAACTACAGACAATCTGTCACAGAGAGAAAGAGATTAATATCTGGAGAAACAGGGGGAGGGGAGAGGAAACTAGAGTTGACTAAAAGATAGATAGATAGATAGATAGATAGATAGATAGATAGATAGATAGATAGATAGATAGATAGATAGATAGATAGATAGATAGATAGATAGATAGATAGATAGATAGATAGATAGATAGATAGATAGATAGATAGATAGAGAAGTGAAGAAAGAATAATCAACTCTTTTGTCGTTTTCTGGGGTTGGGGTCTTTTTACTTTTAGTGTCAATTCCTTTTAATTACTTTTAAGAGAAGTTTCACACAAAGAAATGTTTATACTCCGCAGGTTTAAGTTTTCAAAATTAAAAATGTTCTTTTTGACCCATACATAATTATTTGTGTGCATGTGTACACACGCACTTGTACACACACACTTGTATACACACACTGACACACACACACACACACACTTGTACACACACACGGTCCTGGTAATGAGTGCTTGTGGTTTTATTCAGGTCAGAGTGGGATTATGAAGCACTCAGGAGTGGTGGGGGGGTTGGATGGAGAGAGAGAGGGCATGAAAGATGGCACAGAGAGAGAGATAGAGAGAGATGTCAGTATGTTCAGAGTAACAGAACTTATCTTTCACTGTCTACATAAAGCAATTTTTATAAGAGAAATTCATACAGAAAACAAGAAAAAGAGAAAGTGGACTGCTAAACTAGTGTAAAATAAAAAGTAATTAGCGTACAGATGGAGAGTAAGTCCCTTTAGAAAGAGCATTGCTTTTTCATTTGGTTACCATCACCAATACACGTTGTGTGCAAATGTATATAGTGCTTTATAAGAGCATAAATACACTGAACAGAGAGGAATAAAAACTATTTTCAGACAGAAACTCAGAACTGGAATTTCACTTAAGTACATTTCTGAATTTAGGCTAATTAATAATTATTTGCCATTTGCATATTTTCTTTATGAATTGTAAAATTGTAAAACAAAAAACGAACAAAAAAAAAAGATTATTGGAATGTTTCACAATATATATATATATAAAATATGGTGTAAAAATCTGTATATAAAGATAGTTTCTTAAGAACTGGCTGTTTTTTGTAATTATTTGTAAATCATCAATCATAGAAGTAGACGTAAATTTGTATTTTCCTATCTAATGTACTATATTTTTTTAATTACATTTTAATATTGAATATATAATAAATTGTGCATATTAAAACATATGTTTTGAATATAATTAAAAACCAACATCAAATGGGTCAAATATAACCTAGTGTTTTGAAGAATAGTTGCAAAATATAAAGTATGAATTAATGTTAGGAGACTGCACTGTTATTCCTGTTGAGTATTTTAATGTTGTCCAACTTTTTCTAAACAAACAAGAATTTTTTTTTGCCGTACAACCTATAGTTAAACTAACATTTTAGTTGGTATTGTCATTACTCTGAAAAAAGCTATACATTAAACCAGACATATTGTAATATATAAGGGGCATTCAAACTTTCTTTATAACTTTTTTTGTATTTGTTCCCTAATTAAATTTAGAGCACTTAAAACCAAATACCAAACCAATTAGCATTTAAAAATAGATTGATGTATATCACTCACTTGCTATTTTGTTTTAAAACAGCTGGGGTCTTTTTTCTACTAATAACACATATTCTTTTTTTATGAATGATGCCTCAAATTATCATTTAAAGTGGTTTAATTAAGTCAATATTTAAGTTGTAAAATACATTTACTGAGAGCTGCACACAATTTCCTCTCAGGTTTGTTTTTTATAGATCACAAAACCCCCGTTTTGTGTGCTGAAACTACATTTATGAATGTAACTATAAAAAGTTCATGTTTTATTTCAGAAATGTGACAACCAGTAAATATTCAAATGCTTTTAGTTTAGATATAGTAAGATATTCTGGAAATGGTCAACATTATTAAGAAACAGAACTAAATATTGTTTAGGAGAAAAAAAAGGCAAAGCCATTATTAGAGACTGTTGTCCAAAGAAACCTCAGAGAACCACTGTACTCCTAATACAGTTTCTAATGTTTAAGCTAATTTGAGAATCAGATACATGAGTGAAGACCGATTGAACAGTAGACTGATGGAGCAGGCATAGATAGATAGATAGATAGATAGATAGATAGATAGATAGATAGATAGATAGATAGATAGATAGATAGATAGATAGATAGATAGATAGATAGATAGATCTGAAGTCAACAGGAGGAGATGCAGGGTGAGGTGTGGAGGAGGGAAAGAGAGAGAGAGAGGGAGGCTCGGTAATCCTGTTTAATTGCTTTAGGGTAGTGTTCTGTCGGCAGTAAGGAGATTGAGGTGCTCTCTGGGTCATTGGCTAAAATAACCCCACACACCCGGCTCTATGGGCGGAGCAATCCACACCACACCATCACAGCAACACGATTACCAGACAACAGCATCGCAACAACCTTCTGGACCCCCAGATGCCTCCTGTGAGCGGCCACCTGTGTGTCCGACCTCAGCAGGTCACTGTCGCTCCAGCAGAAGATGATGCTGGAATAATGACAGTCTTTACACTGCACGCTTCTAGAGCCCAAGTGGGTCTGAAAAAAATCTGCTTTCAGATTATTCGGTTAAATTAATTTAAAGTTTATTACAGATTAAAATGGCAATTGTTTTGGTGAGAACTCAAAGTCCCCCATTAGAGCCAGAAATTCATGTATTCTGATAATTAGAGTTTTTCTTTCACGTTTCAGTCTTTATATGGTTTTACTTCAAGAGATAGTTTACCCAAAACTGAAAATTCTGTCATCATTTAAGTTATTTTTTATTCTGTTGAACACAAAAAAAGGTAATTTGAAGAAAGTTGTAAACCTGTAACTGTTGACTTATAGCAGAGGTTTCCAAACTCGGTCCTGGAGGGCCTGTGTCCTCGAGAGTTTAACTTCAACCCTAATCAGACCTGAACCAAGCTCTTACTTTTGACTTGAAACTTCCTGGCAGGTGTGTTGGAGCTAAATTCAGCTGGACAATTGCCCTCCAGGACTGAGTTTGGACACCCCTGACTTATAGTATTTGTTTTTCTTACTATGGAAGTCAATTCAGCTTTCTTCAAAACATCTATTTTTGCAATCAACGGAATAAAAAAAAAACTCAAAGACTTGAAAACACCCCAGGTAGAGTACATAGTGGTAAAATTTTCAATTTAGGCAAACTATCCCTTTAAACTAAAGATATAGGAAAGTAAACAGTAGTCAAGTAACCATGGTAATTATTACCATGCTTGCTCTTTGAGGAACAGATACAGACTATTTATGGTACAACCCTTTTTAAGAGATTTTCTCAAGCAATTCATTCGCTATGCGGTTTCCAGCCATGTTTTTTATTAATTACATTGATACTTTATCTTGCATAATCAACAAGAAGCGAGTCAGACAACTCTTGTTAGACAGACGTTGTTAAACAAAGCCACAATTAATGGAATAGTAATACTAATTAAAAATGAAAACCTTCAGCTCCCCTCTGTACGTGTTCAGTCAAAGCAACATAATGACATTTGTAAACACCAACATTTTTCAACACAAGGTCACCCAAATAGAAAACATATGTCGACAGCATGCATACGATGCCATTAAATGAAGTTTAATTAGTAACGATTAACTCAAACTAACAGAAAACAACATTATTTGTTATAAGTTAACATCATTTTAACAATACATAAATAACAGCAAGCTAAAAGCACGACACAAGAACTCCTAATGTCTCCCAGTACAGACAAACCAAACCAAACTCATGAAAAAAGTAGAAATAACAACTTTGTCCAACAATAAGCTAACTGTGTCTGCAAAAAACAAACAAACAAACAAACACAGATTCCCCTCCAGTTATGTGCATGTCTTTGTTTCTGTGTGTACTGGTTTGTGTGGTTTACAAGGACAGAAATGTATAATGACATGGGTATGACCTAGGAATTACAACATTGCTGTGGTTTATGAGGACATTCCTTATGTCCTTGTAATTCAAAATGCTTAAATTGACATTTCAAATGTGCCACAGATTTCCTGTAAGGGTCAGATTTAGGGGTGGGCTCATATAAAAATGGTTTTAACTGTATAAAATACATAATGCCAATGGCATGTCCTTATAAACCATTAATACCAATGTGTGTTTGTGTGTATGCATTGTGAAAGGTAGTCAATGGTGTGTGAATGTGTGAGGTAAATGGTTAATAACGATGACTGATCAGTAGACTTGAGGAGTCCCTTCAATCTCAGCCAATCACAGAGCAGATCTGGATTACAGAGGAACAGTCTTCACCTGTTCCAAAATGGGTGCTCCTTTTTTCACCTCTGAGATCACATGAATCACGCTGATTCAGTCCTGTTCATCATCACAATGTCTCCGGCAATAGTTCTGCATCATTTCTTCTTCACGCATCTTTCCTTCCCTCTTGCGCTTCACTCTCTCTCTCTCACTTTCTCTTCTACAGCACCTGGAATTTGTGGTCGAGGCAGTCCACAGTGCTGAAGTTGAGCTTCCAGGCCTGCTGGTCCTTGTAGTCAAGGCAGTCTACCGAACTGAAGCCCAACGATGCAGTGCTGTATCCCTGGGAGGAGAGAGAGGGCGACTGGCTGAGCGAGCCGCCCATGGAGGGCACGGTGAGGGGGGAGAGGGCGCCTCCACTTGCTGACAGCTGGGTGGTCATGGGAGAAAGGTACGGGCTGCAATCCAATCCGCTGAAGTAAGGAGAGGAGCCATAGCCCTGGCTGTAGGAAGAGGGCTGACCGTAGCTCATGGGATATGGAGCAGGACGCTGCACGCAGGGGGTGCCTGAACCACACAGTGGATCAGGGAGGGGGGAAAGAGAAGTGGGACTCCATACAGAAACTGGTGCTGTGCCTGCGCTCACACTAGGGGGCACGGTCGGGGTCGGGGCAGCCACCACCGAGGAGCTAGTGCCAGGGTCAGAGGTCAGATCAGGGGGAGGGGAGGACTTCTTTTTGGGGGGACGGGGCTTGGGCTGACCGCTGGTCTGCTGCTGCTGCTGGCGGCATTTAGCACGGCGGTTCTTAAACCACACCTGAAGAAACAACAATGGAGTTATTGATGTTATTGATGGATTGTTTTAAGACAAATTTGGGTAAAATATAAAAATACAAACTTTTTTGTGTTAAAAATTGATTAAGAAATTTAACCAAATGGCTGGCTTATTTCATTGCAGATCAAGGAATGAATATACTATAGAAACTATCATCTCATGCCTAATCTGTGGTCATCTGAACCAATAACAGGCCTAATCGTCACACTAATCGTGAATGTTTTTGTCATTTTCAGTAAGTGCAATTTAACAAATTAGATTAGATTCACACTTATTTTCGAATTCTTAGTTGCATGTGTATACAGTCAACATTATTTAAATTACAGCAACCAAGTGTTAGATGGATGGATGGATGGATGGATGGATGGATGGATGGATGGATAGATAGATAGATAGATAGATAGATAGATAGATAGATAGATAGATAGATAGATAGATAGATAGATAGATAGATAGATAGATAGATAGATAGATAGATAGATAGATAGATAGATAGATAGATAGATTAAATTCATAACTTTATGGACATCATGAGTTTCTGCTAGACACAAGAGAACGTGTTGAGAAGGATGTGTGAGAGGCATCAGAGGACTCACCTGAACTCTGGACTCGGGAAGGTTGATTTTCAGAGCTACCTCTTCTCTCATAAATATGTCTGGATAGCGTGTTTTGGTGAACAAAGCTTCCAGAATGTCCAGCTGGGTGCGAGTGAAGGTGGTGCGCTCTCGACGCTGCTTCCTCGGAGTGGCTATACATACAAATATGAACAATCACTCAGCTTAAAACAAATTCAGGAGGTTTCCCACTTGTCATCATGTAGAGTGCAGCATCAGTTTTAAGCATTTTAATAAGAGCCTGTTAAAGTCATTAAAATGTTTGATAGATAGATAGATAGATAGATAGATAGATAGATAGATAGATAGATAGATAGATAGATAGATAGATAGATAGATAGATAGATAGATAGATAGATAGATAGATAGATTTTCTTGTAACAATAGGGAAAAACAACTTTGTAGATTTGGAAACTGCCTTCATATCTGGCTAAAAGTAATTTTGTATAGCTAATAAGCAAAAAACTAAAAGAAAGGCTAACTTTTTTAATGTATGTAATAAAATTGCACTACGAAAAATTCTCAAACCTTGTATTTTCAAACTTAATGCTCGTGCTTACGTAATTTATTTCTGTTTGAACGTGGGCAGTGCGTTTGTTAATACGTGAGCAAGTGCAATTAATGTGGTCAAGCTATCGCTTAGTAAATGCACGTTTCTTAAATTGTAGATTGGAAATGCGGATAGGTTATTATATCAAATGAAAGAGGAAAACGAGGTTATACTTGAGTTGTGCTTTACCCCTCTCTTTTCAGTTCATTGGACACAAAAAAAATTATAAAACGTCTAACAGAAACACCATTAATGATTAATGAGAATGAACTGACCTGGGTAGCCGACGGCGGTGTGGAGCAGGTCCATTCCTGAGGCGGACAGTGTTAACCCGTTCACAGCATAATGGGGCTGCTTTATGTAGGACATCATTCTTGGGACGGCCGCGTCTCTCGCACACTCTCTCTATTGCTCTCTATCTCTCTCTCTCCCTCCCTCTCTCACCCCTCTCTCACTCTCTTTTTTCTCTGCGACGCTGTTTTACGGGTCGGGGGTCGCGTGTCTGTGCTCGCGCCTGGCGCGTGTCTGTGCTCCTCAAACACCTGTAGATGCTCGCGCGCGCGCTACTCGCTGTCTTCAATAAGCTTACACTTTTGCCCAAGTTTAACTACCAATCTACCATTACTATCGCTCTAAATATCCAATAATAGACCCTTAATGTGAGTTAAAGAACAAATAAATGTCTATATGCACAAAAGTTGCTGGCTCTTGGTCAGAGTTTTGGCGTTGGTAAAGGCGCGTGTCCCTTGGGTAAGACCGGACAGGAGCGGGACACTATGAGCAATAAGAGACCGAGCAGCTAATCAAGAGACATCTCTCTCTCTCTCTCTCTCTCTCTCTCTCTCTCTCTCTCTCTCTCTCTCTCTCTCTCTCTCTCTCTCTCTCACACACACACACACACACACACACACACACGCACGTTGACGTGTAGCTTAACACGTGGGAGGCAATCTCAAGAAATAACCATGTTTTGTTTGCTTAAAATATAAAGGAAAAAAACAGAAATTAATATGATATTACAAGAAAATCAAGTGGTTATGAGATGGATTACTAACCTATTTTTAACTGAATTGTATGTTTTGTTTAAAATATCCTGTAGATTTACACTGTAAGTTCGTATTTTGGAACCAATCGAAGTATATAAATAATGCGATATCGAAAATAACTTAATTTGGCGAATCCATTGATTTATGGCTGAAAATTACCACATGCCACTAAAAAATCCCTCAAAATACCACATATATATTTAAATTATAGAAGCAAATTCCCTTATGGTAATTCCTAGTGATTATTTTTAGTGGGCTATTTTTTAGCTGTGCATTTATCTGTTTTATTAACCCACTATTAATAAATTGACTCAGTCGAAGACAGTCATTCACATATATGGCTGAAACGAGCTGTGATTTTGACTAGCCTATTAGAAAAATGTGCCACAATAAAGGCATAAAATGAAAATCAAAAATACATAATTATACATAATAATACATAATTATAGAACTATATAAACCATATAAGTCTCTTTCTAAGTGTGAAGAGCATTACAATTTTGTAAAGAGACTTTAATGCAATAGAAAAAAAAACTTTCTGTTGAATGTTCACTTATGTAAATAAACTTTGTTAGAAAAGAATTTTTACTTTCTATTAAACATTCTCACTTTTAAATTAACGTTAATGTTGCTTTTTTCGTTTATTGGCTATGCAGTTTATCCGTATTTGTATAAATTCCAAAATGGTTTACAATAGGCTTATAGGGACCTCGATAAAGGTCTGAATATGCTTTTGTTAATCGAATGTTTTCCACGATGAAAGAAGCAAAATAAGTTGTCCTTAATGATGTGTTTTGTTTGTTGCTCTGCACTTTTAAATATTTAGATATTATAATTTTATCTACAGCCATCATTTAGTTGTAGGTGTATTAAATTGAATGCCTGATTATAGTTTTCAATCTTTTATTTGATACCGAAATATGTTTAAAAATCTTTACTCTTTACTATTTTACCTAGAATTGAATCCCGCACACACACACACACAAACTGCTGAATTATCATAATATGCTTTGTGAAAAGTCTCTTAACCCTGGATAAAGCGAGGAAAGAGAGATTTATCATCAGTCTATACGAGGAGAGTACCAGACACCATGTGTAAACAGAATATGGTGAAGAAGAAAATAAATAAAAATACTAAAGGACTCAAAGTGGGAAAAATACAAGTCGAAAGTGTGGATAAATGGTCAAGATGTCTTCAGCTTGTTTTCTTCATCAACTATAAAAGAAGAACATCTTGGCCACATAAACGGGGGAAAAAGAAAAGCGCAAGTATGTTGACGGAGGAGAGGATCTCGATCACGTTTGCTGGAATGGAGCTGTCTGAAATTTGAGATATAATGTAATCCGCAAAAAGAGAACTTGGTATGCTATGTTATATTTGATAGTATTACTTGTTGGGAGAGTAAACAAGTTAAGGACTGAGCAAGGGAAAGGGAGAGAGAAAGGCGTCAACTGGCACTCAAGATGAAATGAATGTGATAGGCTGGCTTAAAACAGACAGAGTGCAGACAGGGTTATTTGGCTGTGACTGAGGTAAATGTCATCTCTCCTTACTGAACAAACTCCACAGGCAAAGGGCAACAAAACGTATATAGTTTCCCCTAAATACTACTGTATGTTCTCTTAAAATAGCACAAATACTTGATTTATTTAGTTGCATTGAAATAAAACCGTTTGTGAAAATAAGAGACTGACCATTTAATGGCAAAATAAGAGCAATAATGTGACTTGTCAGTGCTGTTACTTTAAATTCAGTTTGCTCTACCCGATGACAAATAAATATTAAGGGAAGGTGTGAGTCATTTGAAAATAATTATGTGATGAAAATACAGCACAGACTAATCTTGAGAGGCACATCGCTTTCTTGTTCTGAATTAAGAGTATTTTACTACACATTCTTTAAAATGGGGCGACACGATTGTGCAGTGGTTAGTATCGTCGCTTCGCAGCAAGATGGTTGCTTGTTCGAGCCCAGGCTGGACCAGTACGCATTTCTGGGTGGAGTTTGCATGTTCTCCCCGTGTTCGCGTGGTTTCCGTGTTTCCCCCACAGTCCAAACACATGCGCTATAGTTCAATTGAAAGACTTAATTGGCCGGAAATCATTTAACTAAATTACTCTGCGAAAACATATGCGGTTGATGCTGGTTCATTCCGCTGTTGCAACTTCTGATAAATAAAGGGACTAAGCTGAAAAGAAAATATATGAATGGATTCTTAAAAATTAAAACTGTTCATTTTCTCCCAGGTTATGGTTTATAATTTGAAAATACAAACACAAATTAATATGGGAAATTTGTTTATTGTAATACATCATGTTGAGCCCTGCAATTATGAAATTAAAATTATATCTTTATAAGTGGGCCTGAAATGCATCATAATTTACTTCCCGAAATAAAAAGGTTTCCAGTTACCAATCTATTTTTTTCTCAAATAAATGAATAATTTTTTATTCTTGTATAAGAAGATAAGTATAATTCTATAAATGATATTGCAAGGCAAGTTTGTTTATATAGCGCATTTCTGAAACAGTGGCACTTTAAAGTGCTTTACATAAACAGGAATAATAGAGAAAGCATAAGAAAGTAAAAACAAATAATAAAAGTGATTAAAACAGATTAAAATTTGTTAAAACAGGTTATGAAAGATTGAAAAAGAAAAGAAAGACATAATACGATCTATTTGAACAAAAAAAATCAAGTTAAACTTACCTTGTCTATTTACAAAAAAAAAAAAAACAATATAGCCAAATATGTTTTTAAATGATGATTTAAACAAGAAGAGAGTGAAATGGACACTATTTATACAAAAACAAGTATGCTATTTATATTTTCATACAATAAAGCTGGTTTTATTAACAGTATATTTAAATCATTCATTTGTACCACTCACACTTCATTTGTATCACTTATTTTTTTACTTACGAACACAGAATTAACAACAATAGGATAGACGAATATCAACATGTTTAAAAATGTTTATCTGTTTATTTATGTGACAAACTAATACTGAAGTTACTGAAGCGTTTTAATACTTTGCTCAGATTATCAAAACATAAACGATGCCAGTTTTTTGTTTTACCAGTTGTTGTTGTTATTGTTTTTATGTAAATGCAGTAAAATGATGTTGTTGTTGTGTGTCACTATAGGATGTTTGTATGTGTTCTGGATGGGGCATGTGTGCTTGCAGAAGCTGAAGTTTTATGGAGGGTGGTGCAGCGGGGGGTGGGGGGAACCAGTCCGTCCATCTGGCAACAACCAGCTACGCAGGCACAAGAGCAATTATGGAAGTGGACTAAACTCTAATCCGCGGGAGCGCGCGCGCACACACCAGAACACATTAGCACAGAGATACACAGTAAAAACACTGACACTGCCTAAAATATTTAATCTGAGCAGGTAGTTAGATAGACGAAACAAACAAAATGTTCCAGCGCAAATAAAGTTAACGGAAAGAAAAATGTGAAGATGGATTGGGGTGAAGGAGGGCGAGTGAGGTGACAGATAGATAGAGAGAAAGAGAGAGAGGGATGGAGGGAGAGAGAGGGGTAGTGGGCCGCATCATTGCAGGCACACTGCATCAGTTAATCCAGATTAGGCAGTCTAAAAAGGAGCGGCTTAATCTGCAGGCCAGCCAGTAATACACAGACCGCTGTCAGCACCAATCACTCACACAATTCTAATCCCTGAAGAAACGCACACGCCGGACACACGCACACACGCGCGCGCACACTCTCAACAATGCGAGTTAAAGATGCATATGTTAAAAAATTAATAAATTCTGCTTATCCAGCCAACAAATTCATCAATAACTTTAAAGTCGGCCTCTTTTTCTGAGCCATTTAATACCTCACACACGACCTAAATCAATTTCTAACATATTTTTAATGGTGAGACGATTATAAGTCAGTATCTTAAAGTTTTTTTCTACAAAAAGCCGTGATGAGGCAGTTTTTTGCTGATAAAGACATTTTGTGCTATCCGGGACAGACTTTAAATCATAGATTATAAGGGTTTTAATGTCAGTGGGGCTGTATGCTGAAAAGAGCCCCAATAACCGATTGACAACTTGTCCGGCCCTCTAGTGGAGATTCTGTCCATTTTATCTCAATTTGTGGTCAAGAAAGAGAAACAATTTTGCATCTTTTTTTTTTTCATTTACTCAAGAGTATTTTGGAAATATTTGGAATTGTTTACTAACAAAAAAGGAGTATAAGATATAAATTTGTTTATTTGATGTACTGTTTTATTCTGATAATGAGAACTTAAAGGACCACATATTTTTAATTTGTTTATCTTATTAGGAAAATATTATATACATAAGAAAAAGTAAACTCAGTGCAAACTTTTCTCATTTTGTAAATGGCTTCAAATTATATGTACATCTTTTAGATCAATCACACATAAAAGCACTGAAAACGTGTAATGCTCTGAAAACATTTATTTTCATGTAGGCCTACTTTTTTCTCTTTCAGAACACTGTGAAATGTAACACATCTTGTTCTTGTGGCATTGAATTAATTTTAATAATTAAAACCATTAATATGATTTATTTATTTATTAAATAATAATTATAATTTCATTCATTAAAATAAATTGAATGTTTTTGCCATTTCCATGAATGTGTCCAAATATTGCATTTAAAAAAATCCTGTCTAAACATTTATGTGAGAATAAGTGTATTTTTTATCATGTAATTCAGTAGCCTATCTTTCCATTAATTTACATTATGAAAACC